TAATATATATATATATACATATATATAAAGTAATATACTTGTAATTACATAATTGAATTGACTGACTACTGTATATATATATATTAAATAATGCTGAAATGCAGTGGCATGTACAGGCATTTTGAGGGTCAGGTGCTCAAGTGGGTGAGACAAATGGAACTGCTGGCAGAGCTTTGATTGGACCTCCTGCACAATTTTCTAAATCTCTCTTCAAATGTACATACATTCACAATAAAATAAAGGCCTTTCTTTGATTATATATTTAACTTAAAACAGATGAGAACAATTTGAAGCAGAATTTCAGAGGCTTACTCCATACCTGCTAACATCTGCTGAAGCAAAAAAGACACCTACAATAGTGGAGTCTTGAGAAGCAAGCCGTTTTGTGGGTCCAGTGACATGGGAGGGAAAAAAACCTCCAAACAAGGATGCAATTTAAGTAAGATTAATACAACAGAACTCTGATCATGTTAGGCAAAATTACCAAAATGTGGGGTTCTTGTAATATGGGCTTTAAAATCTAGAAATGATAACTTGGGCCACACGCATTACAAATACAAGTAAAACATTTTAAAATGGCACTTTTTTTCTCCAGAGGACAAAGGCCGGGTGCTCTAGCACCACCTGGTGTCTACCAGCATGTACTTGCTGAGATGGATTCCGTTGTAATTTGGTCCCATAGAAACTCCATAGGATTGAAAAAGACTTGGCCTTGTTGCTCCTTTAGTTTCCACATTATGAATCTTTCCAGGCAGTTAAATTAGTTTTTTTTTTTTTTTTTTTTTGTGTGTGTGTGTAGAGTAAAGTGACAAAAGTAGTCGCATTCTTTCAGCCTGCTGACTGGCAGTGTGGAGCAGCAAATGAGAGGAGCAATGTCTGGTCACTCCTCTTTATCAGGACTCTCATTTTTTAAAAAGGTTTTATTGGCTGTAGTGGCATTTATTTCAGAGAGGTCAGACAGGAAGATGGGTAATGAGAGTGGGGGAAGACGTGGCAAAAGTCACCAGGCTGGGACTCGAACCTCTGACAGCAACATCGAGGACTAATGCCTCCACACATGGAGGTACTTTATCCCTGCGCCACCACAGCACCCAAATCTGAGCTGCTATTAAAGGGTTTCAAAGTTCAGGAGTGGAGCAAGGGAAAGTTTTAATCCCTCAGCGTAGCTGGATGCTGGCATAGAGACGCATGGTGATAAATTAGAGGGTTTGGGTTTATTACTTTCCAAGGAGCCACTCTGTCTGGTGGTCTTTTAAAGGGGCCTTGAACTGCCGTTCGTCATGTTTTTAGTCCATGTCATCTCACGTCGCCCCGTCCACCCTTTCCCTCTGCATCACCAGGAGGCGTGATCGCCTACATCAGCTCCTCCAGCTCTGCCTCCAGCCCAGACTCCTGCCACAGCGACTCCTCCAACGGCAGCTACCAGTCGTCCTCGCCTCGGCGTGGCTCCTCGCCCAGCCGGGGGCGGCCGGGCCAGCTGATGGACCCGCCGCTCGCCGTCGGTCGCCAGAACCTTCCGGGGTCTCAAGGAGGCGGCCGCTCCTCATCCTCGGGAAAATGTGGGATCACAAGTAAGCAGCACACTCCTCCATGCGCTGTGCGCAGCTGCTGCAGGGATCCCTGCGCGGTCCACGGCTCGGTTCTGCTCCGGGATGGACTGCTTGATGCAGTTCATGCAAGGCTGCAGTTTAAGTTTAGGTTCTTTGAAATAAAATGAAGCATAAAAATATACTGAAGCAGCGACTTGGAATGTATTTTCAGTATTTTTTTAATTTAATATTAAATCAGTTCCATTTTTACGTCATGTAATATTGTTATATTGTAACAACAAAGTATTAAAAAAATTTAAACTGGTTATAGAAAATATTTTATTTTTCCTTTTTCAGTTTATTTCATTCATTTAGTTCAAATTAATGTAAATCATATAAATTCATAAGAAATCTTTTTTCAACATTTATTTCTTTATGTCTGCATTTATTTTCCCACAGTTTCTATTTCTAAATGATAACCACCACCTCCTGCAGATTTTCTGCCCCAGTATTCCCAGGGCTTTTATAGGCCAGATATTCTGGTGAAGTTGTCATGAAGTGTGTGTGTGTGTGTGTGTGTGTGTGTGTGTGTGTGTGTGGCTGTTCTGATGACATGCCTCTCAGAGCCTGTGTTTTTGTGCCGATCAGAAATCAACGGCCTGGTGCTGCTGTGTAAGGTGTGCGGCGACGTGGCCTCTGGTTTCCACTATGGGGTCCACGCCTGCGAGGGCTGCAAGGTGAGGATGCCCCTCTACCCCCCACCCTCTACACTCTCCCCTCAGTCTCTCTGCCTGGCTCTGCTGCAGCTGAACTGGGTCACTGCAGGCACAGCTTTCTCTGTGAAACTAGTTCTCTCTTCTCATTCATGTGAGCCAACCACTACGCCTGATCAGGATGTGCGTGCATCCTTAAAAAGTCGTAAATTCATGAATCTAAATTAAAGCCTTAAAATGTCTTAAATTTTAAGGCCTTAAGATGTAAGCTGGCCTTGAATATGTTAATACAGGTTTTTGTGGTGGCAGGACTATTTAACCTCATATATGAAGCTTTTTTTTTACTTTTCTGTCAGGCAAAAGTTTGAGTCACACACACATCTTCACTGTGTACTGTGACTCGAGGTGGTTGAGTCTACTGCTAACTAGTTGCTAATATACCTGTGCTAGCTAGCAAGGTGGCCAATTAGCTTTTTTGGATCTATGATGAGTAAGTGCAAATTTCTTGCCGGTTGGCTGGACAACATTTTGTTTTTCCACTGTCTCACTTCTGTTACCACTCTGCCCTATCTACACACTGTGACTAAGGCAGAGTTTGTAGCAGGGACCAGAGGAGGATTGGGTTTTTATGTAAAACCCCCCCCCAAAAAAACTACCTTTTTGAGCTTTATATCATGTTCTAATGTTATTTCCTCATCATAAACATGTAATGATGTGCTGAAGGCGGAGAGCTTCTTAAAGACACAAGTCATCAAAGTGCTAAGTTAAATTTTTAAGTCGTGTAGATATATATAATATTTTGTAACTCAAGGTAATAAAACCTTAGTTACTTGATTGCGCTATAAAATTGTCACTGTGTGCCTGGAAAAGACTGTTCTGTCTGCTTAAATTTCATCAAAGGTGCCATTAAAAAGATCTTTAAAAGTCTTAAATTTGACTTGCTGAAACCTGTAGACACCCCATTGATGCACATTCTCACACACACACCGTCACAAAACTGCTGTATGTTCAATTCTGTAGAAGATAAAAATGCTCAGAGGTGTTGTGAGGTGCAGCTCGTTTATAATGCAGCTCTTTAAACTCTTCATGAAGCTTGTAGCAGACAGTGATGTCATGATTCCTTGATGTTTAACAGCTGAATGATGATTCCTGTGGAATTCCCACAGTGTCCCGTCATGGAGCAGAGCTCCCACCATAAGCTTAACTCCCACAGCCCAGAAAATGGAGCACTCACCATGCTGTTTGTGTGTGTGTGTGTGTTCAGGGCTTCTTCAGGAGGAGCATCCAGCAGAACATCCAGTATAAGAAGTGCCTTAAGAGTGAGAGCTGCCCCATCATGAGGATGAACAGGAACCGCTGCCAGCAGTGCCGCTTCAAGAAATGCCTCATGGTGGGGATGTCCCGAGACTGTAAGTGTGTGAGGACACCAGCCCCGCCTGAGGTGGCAAACTGGATAAGATGCAAATAATAGAAATAAACTGGTTGGCCTTGTTCATTATGTCCAACCAAAAGTATTTACACCCTGCAAACATTTACCAGCCTAATAAGTATTTCTATGAAGAATTATCTGTAAAACTTAGACCAAGGTAGAACTTCATAAGATGTTCAACAAACTTTTTGTGTTGCAGTTCTTATAAAATTACGTCTTTATTCTGTTATTATTCTGACTCTATTTTGGTAATGATATGACCTTATTCTTGTTTTTTTTTTGTTTTTAAAAAAAAAGAGAAACCTGACCTGAATTCAAAGTCCAAGTAAACAGAAGCTGTAAAACAAGATGGCGGCCCTGGATTTGCTGACATCACTCTGGACTATGGTGGAAAAACAATCCAGATTTCCAAAAATGAAACATTGAAAAAGATTTTATTAACTTCAATTAGTTCATGAAATCAACTTATCTTCCAGCTGTAGCTCAAGTTTACGCTCAGAAGACACACTCTAGTTCATTATTATTATTATTATTGTTATTATCCCTTTGTGTTGGTCTAACAGGGTGGATGCTTGTGGTTGCAACGTAACAAAATGTGTGAAGGGTGTAAATACTTTAGCGTGGCTCTGTAGGTTTGTCAGTTTCCGTGTTTTATTGCTCTAACATCCAGAATGCTAACGTCAAAGCGAGCTAAAGTGACCCTCTTCCCACTGTTCAGCTGTGCGCTTCGGTCGGATCCCCAAGCGGGAGAAGCAGCGCATGCTGCTGGAGATGCAGAGCGCCATGAACAGCATGATGAGCGGCGGCCATCTGCAGAGCGAGCTGAGTCAGCCGCACGCCGCCGGCGAGGCTGCCCCGCTAACCGCCGCCGCTGAGAAGGCCGGCCCCGCCCCCTCCCCTTCAGGCTCCAGCCAGTCGGACTCCAGCTCCGACCCCGACGGTGCCGTTCCCATGGATACCGGCTCCAGCTCGCCGTCCCCCAGTGTGTCGGACAGCGGCGAGGACGAGGTGATTGGCTCGGTGACCAGGGCCCATCAGGAGACGTTCATGTACAACCAAGAGCAAGGCAGCCGGGCCCCCGAGGGCCCGCCCAGACCCCTCAACAGGGACTTAAACCAAGCCGCCCCCGTCCAGCTCTCAGAGCAGGGCCGGGACGTCTGGAACCACCGCAACAACTCTGTCAACATGGCGGGACACAGCCTCCTGTCCATCCTGGGACAGCCTCACAGCCAGCTGGACAACCAGTGTCCAATCAGAGCGTCCCGCAGCGCCGGCAGCAGCCACAGCCCTGCCTACATACACGGAGCCGTCAGAGCTCTGCCCACTGAGCCCTGTCCCGGCGGCGTCTACAGCGGGGGCGCCTGGAGAGGAGGCAGCAGAATGTACCTGGTAAGACGGGTGCAGCACGGCGCTGGGACAGAGCGTGGCTGTCCCTCATGTGTTTGTCTCACTGCAGCTCATTTACGTGTGTGGAGACACAGTGGAGGACACTTAGGGTCTCTGGTTGTCCCAGTCCTGTTGAGTCCTAATTGGTTGTCTGTCTCCAGGTCTGTCCAATGAATACATCCCCTCAAGTGGACCCACACAAGTCGGGCCAGGATGTGTGGGAGGAGTTCTCCCACAGCTTCACCCCTGCTGTCAGGGAGGTAGTGGAGTTTGCCAAGAAGATCCCCGGCTTCAGGGAGCTGTCCCAGCATGACCAGGTCAGCCTGCTGAAGGCTGGCACCTTCGAGGTACGCCCCGTCCCCTCATCCGCTCTACCCCTGTCCTTCTGTCCCTCAGGGTTAGAAATGGAATAGAAACGGCCTTTCTTGTCCTGCAGGTGCTGGTGGTCCGCTTCGCCTCGCTGTTCCATGTGAAGGAGCGCTCCGTCACCTTCCTGGGGGGACAGAAGTACAGCGTGGACGCTCTGAGGACCATGGGCTCCGGGGACCTGCTCAGCTCCATGTTTGACTTCTGTGAGAAGCTGATGAACCTGGGGCTGAGCGAGGAGGAGATGAGCCTGTTCATGGCTGTGGTCCTGGTGTCAGCCGGTGGGTCCCTTCACTCTGCTGCTCCTTTTAGTTGCATTTTAAAGATTCAAATCGACAGAATAGTCCGATAATATTCAGATTATTTCACATGATGTTTTTATGTATTAAGTAAGAGGTCTAAAAATAACAGCAGCTGCCATCAAGTTTTCATGTTTGATAGTCAGGAGCTGTGTTTCTACTTAGCATAAAATTGCGCAAATTGGAGTTATGAAAATAAATGTGTTTAATTGAAATGCAACAATTTTGAGAAAAATTAAATACTTTAAGAAAGAGGTTGTGGTAGACTGAGACCCAGTCGACTCGATGGTTACTGCTAAAAACATAAAAAATAAATGTTTAATGTGTTTAGCTGTTTAGCTTTAATGTCAGCTAATATTTTGTGCTTAGCGGTTTTGTTTTAACTTGAGCTAATTTTAAATTTTTATTTTGTTTAGCAATGGCGTCAGCTAATTTCTTAAATGTGGTTAGCAGTTGTAGTGTTAGCGTAGCCATTTAGCAAATTAGTGATGATATTAAATAGTTAGCTGACCCCGTAGTGACTTAGCTAACTGTTAGCTGTGCCCACACTTGTGTAATTCGCAGATTTTAGTGTATAAATTCACCATTACAACCATGACGACTATTTAGAAACATGTCCAGCAGAGAAAGGAAACAAATCAAGGAAATGTTCATAAGTTCTATGGTCCACAATATGTAGGCTATGATTTGACGCCAAACACATTCATTGAATTGACAACTTCAGAGCAAAAATACATTTTCCATGTCAACCATCTATGATCATTTATGATTTCTGTGGGTCCAATTATGTATGAACTGAAGCGAAAAATATTCGTCTGTGATAAATATTGGCAAATTTAATGCAAAAGTAGATTTTCTTTGATGGCCATCTTGAATTTTTCAGTGGTTTTTTGTCCATAAACATCTGCACCAAGTTATGTTCTTGTATCTGTGTGTGAAAGTTTTCGCTGAAATATGAAGTTATCTGCTGCACCATGTCGTTGCTATATTGAAATGAAATTACAAATGACAGAAAATGTTTTCAAATGTCATTTTTATTTTAATCAGCACTTCTCTGAGTTTACATGAATTCAAAGTCCAACTAAACAGACGTTGTACAATAAGTCTGCCATTTTGTTGTACAACTTCTGTTTAGTTGGGCTCTGAACTACGGAAGCCCAAGGAGTACATTAGTGGGGGGGGGGGGAAAGTCTCTTACCAAAATTGAGATCTTCATAACCAGCCCAGCTGTTTGTGCTGCACATGAACAGAGGAAAACTGAGAGGAGGCTGAGTGTCCACAAGGTGGCGCTAAACGCAGTGGCTTAGAGAAGGAAAGCAGAAGGGCTTTGATCCTGACAACTAAATCTGATCAGTGAGATGTTTGTGTCCAAGAGGTCTTGAATGCCCACTGAACACTTCTCAGGTGGGTCCCCTGTGGGGTCCAGAGGGTCCCACACCTTTCAGGAGACAAACCCAGAGGCCCCAGAGCCACAACTGGCTCTTTGGACCTTTGACTATAAATGATAAACAACTGAAGTTGTAGATTCTCTTGTCAGATTTTCTTGGAATAATTGCATTTAATTTCCATAAATGACTCTAAAAGTGCCAGTAATTTTTATGTGGCTCTATCTGTTGTTGGGCTGGAAATTTTGTTCAAATGTCAGCATCCCATATGAAAAAATGTAACCTAGAAATAGGAGTAAAAATGGTGGTTATTTGAAAATGACAACAGATTTTCTGCAGTAGAGATTTACCAAAGAATTATAAGTTATATTTTATTCTAAAGATCAGGCAGTATTTGTGGCTCTAAAGTCATTTGTTTTAGCAGAAATGGCTCTTTGAATTTTAAAGGTTTCTGTGCTGAACTGATGGAATGATCAGTTGTGGCCAGTCGATGTGTCTGAACGTCTCTGCATCCCGTCTCCCTGCAGACCGCTCCGGCATCGAGAACGTGAACTCTGTGGAGGCGCTGCAGGAGACGCTGATCCGCGCGCTGCGGAGCCTCATCACCAGGAACCACCCCAATGAGTCGGCCATCTTCACCAAGCTGCTGCTGAAGCTGCCCGACCTGCGCTCCCTCAACAACATGCACTCTGAGCAGCTGCTGGCCTTCAAGGTCCATTCCTGAACTCTGGCACAGCCTGAACGGGCCCCGGGTTGGGCCCCGGCCCCGGGTCGGGCCCTGGGTCCTGCCCCGGCAGCTGTGCGTCCCCATGCCGTACTGTAGGCTGACGCAGCCGCACCGCGCCACCTCCATGTGTTGTGTTTGTGTGTAGCAGCTGTTCAGCGCTTAGAAGCACTTTCCTGTCTTGTGACTAAGGTTTCTGCATTCATAGTGCAATATGTGACTGCTTTGTTTGACATGGACAGCGTAGCAGTGGTTTCCAGTGGCTTACACCACTCTGAATGTTGTGGAGGCGCTGACACTTTCCAGGGGGCCATCACAGAAGAGAGAATGTAGCTGAAACTGAATGATGTCTTATTTGACCCTTGTGTTGTTGTTGTCCATGTTCTGATCTAAGTGACTAATCTGATGACTGATGGATGGCACACTGACACTCTGGATTCTCAGCTACTGAGAAGTTACTGCAGACACCAGCGGCTCCCCAGTGGCTGACTGGGCTCCGACCTGTTGGGTAGAACCTGACTAGTATTAGTGAAGTAACTGAGCTGTCAGAGCTGCTGGTGTTCACATCATTTAGTTTAGTTTTTAATATCCAGAGCTTCTGTCAGCGTGTGGAACGGGTCGCAGGAAACCAATTTCTATAGAAAAGTATATATAGAATCTAAATATGTACTGTTATACATGACCATATAGATGACTATCTATAAAAATAAATTTTATAAGTGAGGTGAAGTTTTTTGTGTCGAGTATCTCAATTACAATATATAAGAACAGTAAAAACTCAGTGTGCCGTTTTCTAATCCGTCAGCAGAGGGCGTCAGTGCTGCTCTGACTCCAAATCGAAGACCCAAGAGAGGAAGCTGAGTGTCCACAGGGTGGCGCTGTGGACACTCAGCCACAGTTAGGTTTTCACAGCCTACTTTTAATAAATTTAGTAAGTTAGTTAGGAACCAAAGTCCAAACATTGATCCAGACTGTAAAGAGCCTGTGAGGATTGCTGTGAAAAATGTTTAAAGCCAAGAATGTGCAGAGATTCCACATGATCTGGGCTTTATGTCTGTGTTTCCTAATGACTTAAACATATGATGGAATGATTAGCAAGTCTAGAAATACAGGAAATATTCAGTAAAATATGAAATGATGTTCAATAACATAAGTTAACATATAAATGATTGCAATCACTAAGGCAGATGCACACATACAAAAGCATCTTCATACCACATATGAGGGTCATCAACCTGTTCCATTCTACCAGCCTCTTTTGCCACCGATGCTGCAAAATAAAACTCACCTCAAGCTGCAAAAAACTTGCACTAAGAAATCTTGTCTCATGAAAAAAATCATAACTAGTAATCATGACATGTAAATCATGATAATATAAGAAACACAAAAAACATTTGCTGGAGGAACAAGATGAATCTGGTCTCTCCTGTGGAGGAGACGAAGGTCTTGGCTCACTCTGTGCTGAGCAGCTATCAGCGCCGCCGAGAGGGAGAGAAACAGGAGTCTGTGGTGTTACTGTTGTAGATAAAGTGTACCAAAGCATCATTTAATTTTTCATTTGACAGTTATTCCTCAAATCTGCAGGATCAAAGCACTGTAGCTGATGTTTGACACATGCTACATCACAGACAGCGACACAACTAAACTATAAAGCACCACTACTTCTGTAACACCAGCTGATCATTCTGAGGAGGACTGACCCATCTGTAGGTCCACAAAACCTGCCCAGAGGATTCTGAAGAGGTTCTCCAGAACCTTCTGGCTTAAGGCCAGCAGCCATCATCGTGTTCCAGAGAAGACGCCTTATGAAACGTCAGACACACAGTTCTTTCATAAGACGTGAGGACAACGTAACGCTGAGATGTGAGGATGACACCTGGGCATGACTGGGCATGGGATAAGAAGGAAGGTGGCAGATCTGGTGACACGGTGTCATCACAGAATCTCAGAGTGGATCGGGTCAAGCAGATGATCCTGAACAGATCAGGAGAACCACAACGTCCTGCGGTGAGTCGCTGAGCTCTGCTCACTGAGCCACCTTACGGTCCACCAGAACCAGAACTCACTGGGTTCATCTCCAGGGTTCATGAGCTCTAAAAGCACCTCCAGCACTGCTAAAGGTTTGAAGCTGGCAAAGATGTCCGATTGTTGTTCAGGTCCAGAAGTTACAATGACCAGGGGCCGATTCACAAGGATGTGGCCCCGGGACACGAGGCAAAAAAGACAAAAAAAAAAAAAGAGATTTTCCTAAAATAAATGACACATTAGGTCAACATTAGTCCTACGCATCAGCAGGTATGAAGTGATGCATGGTAGGCTTATTATATCTCCAATAATGTTGCTCTTATTTCGAAAGAAATGGACTATAACTTTATAATTTTTTAAAAACTTGAATACCGATTACATTCATAAAGAAGTAAAACATTTGCAAAACATGCTTTAATATATGTGTGTATAAAGGGATTTTGAACCGGGTCAGGAAGTGACTAAATTCAGTGTCTACATGTAGTTCTGCTCAAGAACTGTGAAAAGTAACTCAATAACTAAATGTATGATGTCTAACTTCTTTTATGTTAACAAATTTCATTAATCTAAGTTGTGTCTCTACTCTGGCATGTGATCCAGGGCTCTTATCCACATTATCAAACTTCATCACAAGGTCAACATCAGGCTGGCAGCAGGCAGGACCTTTCACTGGACTTCAGCCTTAAATAGGATGCTGGCTGAATGGTGGATGGTGTGCAGAGGAATATGTTCTGAGCAGTCAGTTTGAAAACAATCCTTATTAATTACATAGTTTGGTACGACAACAATAATGAACTGATTTAATACATCGTTAAATGTCATTTGAATCAAGTATGGATTATCTGAATGTACCCTGCTCAAAAAAATAAAGGGAACACTCAAATACCACATCCTAGATCTGAATGAATGAAATATTCTCATTGAATACTTTGTTCTGTACAAAGTTGAATGTGCTGACAACAAAATCACACAAAAATCATCAATGGAAATCAAATTTATTAACCAATGGAGGCCTGGATTTGGAGCCACACACAAAATTAAAGTGAAATGTTCCCTTTATTTTTTTGAGCAGTATATTTAATACTGAAGGTCTGACATTAAGATAATTCATTTCATACAGAAAAAGACGAGATGAAAAAAACATGCAAAGACAAAACTCTTAAAACCATGTTTATTCTAGAGCCAGTTCACATTAGTTGCAACCATCATCCATTGTGTGCATTTCAAAACCTTTCCCAGGTCCTGTGTGTTCATGTACGACCACTGGGAAGCTGATTACCAGAGGACGGTTCCAGTAAAACCAGTTCATTCGCACCATCACTGCCTTTCTCTTCCAGTCAGTGTAGAACGGGTCATACAAGGAACGACACTCGATGTACAAAGGAGGGGCATCTGGGCTGACAGTGGGTACACCAGGATCCAGAGGTTCTCCTACGCTTGTGTGCAAGTGTAGCTGCTGCATTTTGTACTGACAGTGAAGTCCAGCTACAGTCCTGTAAAATGGATTTTACCAAACAACTAATGCTGCACTAACATTTTATGATTTTAGCTGCTTTGCTCAGTTCCTCTGCCATGATGTTGGGTCAGCACTAGAGTAATCACTTTGTTAATACTGCGCAAAAACAATACCATGTTCATCTTATGCTAACATGTAAAAAAAAAAAATCTGCATTCTGAAAATATACATCCTATTTCAACTGTACTGTAAAAAAAAAGCTTTTCTATGGTGCAAGTCTTGTGATTGGTTTGTGACTGAGTAACCTTAAGAAGAACAAGTGGGAAGAGAGAACAGTGAACAGGCACCGGTTCCGTCAGCACTGACGACGTTTATGTGCACCGACAATGAGAACATGTTGAAAAGGAAAACGACTCAGGTTCTAAAACCAGAACTGAATTTGCGTTTGGAGGAAATCGTCAGTTTTGGTTTGTTCATCTGGAGCTCTGCCTTCACAAACAACATGATGTTTTCCTAGAGCTTCATTTGGAAACAGAAAGCTGGACTTTCAGCTGCTTCCTTCCTCCTGACAGGGACAAGGCAGCAGAGCAGGAGTGTGATATTTGGAGAAGATCAGTTGAACTATTTTGTTGTTTATGGACCCCTGGATCATCCTCAACAGACATTTTAAAGAAGACAAAAAGATAGAGAGAGAGTAAACTCATCATGGTTTTAACTGAACTGTTACGATCAGCTTTACTATGATTTACTGAAATAAAAAGTTTAAGAACTGAACAAAAACACAGACTTAGTGTTGGTCCAAAGCATCCTGGAGTCATCTATGGTTTGGTTCAGGAACCCAATAACAAAACTAAATACTACTAGCAATATGAGCTCAGAAAATATGTCCCCTCCTCTTCATTGAGGCCGTTCAGTAGGGCTTCTGCTTTAAGACAAAAGTCTGCGGAAGTGTAAAAAAAAAAATCCAGTTTATTCCTGTGACATTTATGTTTGATTTGAACTTCAACCACACTGAGTTTGACTTCAGGAGCCTGCAAATGTCCAAACCAGGCTGGGAACGAACTAACTGTTTAGTCAGGGCTGTACCGGCAGCCTTCTGTGAGTTTACACAGTTACTGCTGATGGATGGAATATTGACAACTGAAGGCATTTTTGTTTTTTCATAGCTAAATTAAGATGTGGTCATTACACATTTGACTTTGGTTAAGGTCTGAACTTTGACTAGGCCTTAGTAACTTCATCATGCATGTCTCAAAAAAGACTTTCTGCAAAGAACTATTCCAGACAAGTCATACTTTAACAGAGATTTTGCTGACTGTGGCCTGTAGACTTTGTTAGTTTCTGATTTGTCCAACAGAACAAAGCAGATCCTGAGGTGGTTCTGTCAGAACACTCACAGTAGAATCTGTTCCAATGGTTTCAACTTTAACATCAACATGTGACATTTCCTTGTTTCTCTAGAATGATAACGGAGTTTGGAAATGACTTTCTACACATTTAAGAACAGGTTCTGATCCATGGCAACAGTTGCTACTTCAGGGTCATTGCTGGTGTGTTTTTCATTAGCATTGTGCTAACACATGCCTCGAAGGTCTTGAGTATCAAACTAAGTAAAGTTCTGCTTCCTAGATGTCCCCACCCACCATTAAACCCAGTAAAAAAAACTTTTTTGAACACGTTTATGCATTACAGTGATATTAGTGTCCACCTGATTGATAAAAAATGTGTATTTTATTCCCATTAGATTGATAAAGTAACTAGATCAGATCAGACTGGAAGTCAGAGGAAGCTAAAAGCTAACATCTCAAGAAGTTTCAAAGTGCTTCATGAGTCTCATAATCTTTTGTAACTTGTAAAAACACAGTCTTGGTTTCTATGGTTACTCATTTATACACCCTTCCCTCCTGCCTCCCATATCAGAATTCCAACCAGGAAAGACAAATCTCACCAGACAGACCAGAATTTTGTATCCAATATGGCCGCTCAACGGCCATATTGGATACAAACAGACATAGTGAAAACTGCGACTAAATTAATTATTAGCTCTTCTTATGGTTTAGTGTTATATTTTTTTATTTGTAAAATATATATTTTTAAAACATGTTCCTTTTGTGTTTGAACACTTAAAATGAAGGGACATATATTATGGAGAGGTATTGCTAATAGTAGTTAGCACCAAATGCTACATCCATTGGTTTTGCATCATAACCAGTGTAATATGTCTTTTCTGAAATCATACTTATTTTCTTTCATAAGACAAAATTTTGAATCCACTTTAGATGTGGTAATGCATCAGTAGAACATGTTAGAGTTGTCTGTCTTTTTTTTAGTGAGCATTTATTATTTATTAAATAAATATAGAAAGGGGATCAAAAATAATAAAAGTGAGGGGAGACCTGGGGTCTTGTTTAGTTCCCTGAGTTTACTTCCTGGATGTTTTTGGTTGAAGAGGGCCACAAGACATACAATCTGTTTGTAACAAGAAGTCAGACTGCAGATGGACTCTCTACCTACAAAGTCATTATGTGGACTTTAAAATAAAGTTTCTTATTAGTGACAGTAAGATGTTTGTGGAGAAGTGGGTGTGCACGTAACGGTGGTCAGTGCTGCTTCCCCAAACCCCCGTGGCTCAGCATGGCCTGACCCTGCATTTCAGGTTGGCTACCTGAGTTTGGGCATCTTTGCGTCCTCCTTCGTCTGATTGTCTGTGCATTTTGTTTCAACCTGTACAGTTCGAGAGGTGTGTGTTTGTGTGTGTTGGTGTGAGGTCTAGGTCTTTCTAACACTGTAGCAAGTCTATTGCTTTGATGAAAAGGCATCACTTCACAGAAATGAGAGAAAAAGTAAAAAAATAAAACCACAAGCTGTTTTCAGGTGGAGAGGGAAGCTTGGTGAAAGCCAGACAGACGAATGAAACTCTTTCCACGGAATAAACCCTGATAATCTCTGAACATCAACAAAAACACAACATGCTGACTAAAACAATGACATGAAAGTGAGATGTTTTTTTTTTTTTTTCACAATCTCACCAGCGTCTTCGCTGGGTGACGGCCAGCTGATGATATCAGGTTTGTTTTGGACAAGTTAACATTCATTCAGCCTTCAGATCCCACCAGCTGGCAGAGTGGCGACTCTGACCTGCGCTTTCTGAGCATGTCATTCAATCAGCCATAACATTATGACCACTGACTTGTGGGAGTGAACCTCTGACGTCCTGTTCAGTGTCATGCTTATCCATAGACGTTTGTTGAAAACTTTGCTGCACCCAAACTGTTTAAACAAAACTGATTAAACTCGGCTGAACATGGCAAACATTTTGAAAGAAAGTGACGCAAAACGTGTTTTTATTCTGAGAATAAATTTGTTCAATCAAGCCCCAAACAATGTGAAAACTGTTTTGTCAAAATTATTGACAAATAATTTTGTCAATAATTTTGCTTTATTATTGATACATTCAGCCCCATCCCTTTCCTATAGGAAATACAATCGGCCTATTCAATTTGCTTTTAGTTTTTTTCCATCGAGTCAGAAGTATTCATGAGACCCCTGGTTAACGTGTGAAGACCCAAAAGCATGAGGACATTCCCAGATATCTCATAAGGTAATCCTGATAGGACTGTGGTTGTTTTTGACTCATAATGTAGACAATTTTAAACCGTAACATCCATCCATTTTCTTTACACCCTTGTCCCTTAGTGGGGTAGGGAGGGTTGCTGGTGCCTATCTCCAGCTAACGTTCTGGGCGAGAGTCAGGGTACACCCTGGACAGGTCACCAGTCTGTCGCAGGGCAACAGAGAGACACACAGGACACACACCATACACACACTCACACCTAGGGGCAATTTGGAGAGGCCAATTAACGTGACAGTCATGTTTTTGGACTGTGGGAGGAAACCCACCATGAACAGGGAGAACATGCAAACTCTAGTGACACTCATGTCATGGCAAAGGCCGGGGCTGGGAATCAAACCCAGAACCTTCTTGCTGCAAGGCAACAGCTCTACTAACTGTGCCACTGTGCAGCCCTAAACCCTGACATATTACTGCATATTTAAGGATTTACTTCCTATATCACCATGGAGATTCATAATTTAAACGTTAGACCACGTAAAGTCTCCCGCCTTTGCCTTTTTCATCTTTTCGTTATCAGAAACCCAGCCTGGTTCCTCTGCTGCAGCTCAAAGTGCTGATTCAGGTTGAAAGGTGTCAGAACTCTGTTTGCGGTGCTGTTTGCTGGGCCCGACGCCGTCTGAGCTCAGACCACTCTGCTCAGTCTGCTCCGTGGAAGAAGCATGTTGGTCTGATGAACTAGATCTGGTCTTACATTACATGGACGGCTGGGTCTGAGTGCTGCTGAACTGGACCAGAACCTGAAGCTTCCACATGTACCTCTAACTGTCATGGTTGAGTCCAGACCTTAATAATAATAATAATAATAATAATAATAATAATAATAATAATAATAATAATAATAATAATAATAATAATAATAATAAACTCACCAACACTGAAAAAAACACAAAATAATACCAAGTATTTGCTTTAGATTCCAGCTCTGATATCTTAGCACCCTTAAAATTAGACAAAAATAACTTTCAAGAGACTTTTCTGCAAGTCATAGCAGCTTATTTTGAGTCAATAATTATTAAAGTGTAAGTTCCACAAGTGGATTTTTTTCACTTAAATCAGGAAAATGTCTTGGGTGGAGCTATGAGGGGAGCTGGTCTGGAGACATAAAGCCTTTATCATGATAACACATTTTCTTAACTGATAAATGATCATGATAAATAATAAAACTGGTTTTATGAGACCATTTTTAAGTCATGTATTGATAATAAGTCATAACAACACTAAAGACCTATAGACTTGAATTTTGTAAAGAACACTTAATACTAGAACTGGAAGATATTTTAAATATGTAAAACAAGACACACCAACCAAAAACAATAAATAAAAGGGAAATGGAAACCACATATAGACGAGCCATGAGAAAAATGGCATTACATTATTATGTACCTGTAAACAAAACTGGCCTTCCAAAAATATGGAAATGATCAAGCTCATTTTAATTTCTCATGCGATTGATTGATTCATTGTGGACCGCAGGAAGAACAGCCATCGTTATGGCGATGGCTGAAGGGATCCAAATAAATAAACAAATAAACAAACATTGCTTAGTTGTGAAGAAAATCTGCCAGTGGAACTATAACTCTTTAAATCTATATGTAAGAAACTATGTAAGAAGTTACTTCTAAGTTAATTTTGTCTTATTTCAAGTGTGCTGTAGAGATACTGGCAGTAAAAACAAGACAAAACTACTTGGTAAGATTTTGTGTTTTTGCAGTGTTTTCCTTTCCCTCTTAGAGGTTCTGGCCCGGTTTCAGTCCAACTGAACATCTGATGATGTTGGAGATCATCTAGAGCGAAACGACGAGCCACTGATGGTGTTAGAGTCCCTGTTAACGGGGCGGAGCTGGTTGAGAAGGAATGGCGTGCTAACAGTCATAATGTTACGGCTGATTGGTGGAGGTGTCAGGTGTACTGTACATGACATTATGTTTGTGTTATAGTGTACATGTGTGTCACTGCCAAGCTGCGATTCAGACAGACAGATTCATTTCACCATCATAGCACCATGACATCACTGCTTCAGCTGGCAGTGTTGTGATTACAGAGAGCTGGAAATGAAGAGAGAACAATACTGACATGATTGGATGAGCACTCTGATCACCATGGCTGAGATCTCCACTGAAACATGACTCACTCTCTGTCCCCGTCAGGTTTTACAAGCTATTAAATATGATCATATTCACCATCTTTATATCTAAGAAATGATTTCAATGTGTGTGGGGGAGTGAGGGGTCAGGGGTCACGCACTTTGTTTTGGCAAAAAATCAAATTCGCTATGATGACCAGTGATTGTGGTTTTGGCCAGCAGTGAGGTTGTGTTTGTTAGTCCTGACCAGTCTGTGGGGATGAGGATCAATTTAACACTGCATCTACTGCTGCAGCTGCTGCAGCATCTGCTGCTGCATCTACTGCTGCATCTACTGTTGCAGCATTTGCTGCTGCATCTACTGCTGCATCTACTGCTGCATCTACTGCTGCATCTACTGCTGCGTTCCCTCAGCTGTCGGCTCAGTCTGAATCTCCCATTTGATCAGCTTCTTTCAATTTAGTCTGACTTCTGGGGTGAATCTAATTTTTGCAACAAAATTTAAAAACTCTAATTTTGCATTTTTTGCTGTGGGGATCAGCTAGGAAGTTATGAGCTCTCAGTATCTTCCCTGAAATAGAGAGCTAGCACCTTAGTTTGAATCATTTTCCCAGCTGTTAAAGATTGTCACAAAGTGTTTTCAGCGTCTAGTTAGAGTACTTCTGTGTTACAAAAATATAGCTCTTCAAAAATCTAACCAAAGTAAAAAAACAATCATGCTTTATACATTCTGTTCTAAGTTATGCTGCACATTGTTTACCTTTTCTCACTGCATGGAGCCTCATCTGAGGATACAGTGTGAAATCCCTCCAGTAAGATCAGCTGGAGAAACATTTCAGGTGATTAAAACGAACAAAAAACTATTTTCATTTAAAATATTGTAGCAAAAATATTTCCTACCGTTGCAAAAGTAATCTGGTATATTACGATGATGTTTGTTTTTATTTAGATTGTGACTTTAAATAAAAAGTAGACAAAATGTATGAGTTGCTAATTGTGCAGAACAGAACATTTGGTTCTGCTTATTATAGAATAACAGCAGGAGCTGATTTGATGACTTCATGCATGTTTACCAGCTACTTTATTGTGTTTCATTTGTTTTTTCTAGTAAGTGTGAAAATAATGTAGTAGGCTTCTTTCAGCCAGCTGCTTAGCAGCGTGCAGCAGAACAGTGGGGGTTGTGTAGCACATTCCCAGCCATGCAGAGGCTGCCTGCTTTCAAAATTCAGATTTTTCCGAGAGCTTCTGAATGCAGCTTCATTTGATATGAGCAGCTGACTTTTAGAGTGAGTCAGGAGACAGTGTGATTCCTCAGGACAAAGTGAATGAACCAGAAACCAAAGGGAGAACCATCAGAGCTGCTCTGATTTTCTGCATCAGGTCAACTTTCACTGAGTTTCTGTAGAACATGAAGGAAAAAAAAAAAAGACAATAACTCCATAGTTTCTAATGGTCAAACAGCTGTTAATAAAATCACCGTTATGCCAACTGAACAATTATCAAGAAAGAAAAAAAAAAACTAGGTGAGAGGTTATACGCACAAAAATAACGACAAACCAAGAAAAAAAAAAAAAGGCTATTCACATGTACCCGCAATGTGAGGAATGATTTCATCCAAAACTAGACCAGGGAGCTAGTCCTAAACTATGGAATGAAGTGACACTCAGTAGTGCTATCAGAGAGTTCGGGGAGATGGGCCTCCGGCTGGTACCGCTGGTACCAGCAGGGTGCCCAGGCTTTGGACAACGCATGTACACACAGTCCAAACACACTCATACGCTGCCGTCCGTCAGTCAGTCCTCAAAGACCTCCAGGAAGAGCGGAGGGAACAGCTCGGTGGGACACTCCACTTTCATGTGGAGGAAGCGGCTGGCATGGCAGGCGCCGATCATGCGCAGGTCTGTCACCTTCATCAGCAGCTTGGGCCAGAAGTGCGCCACCTTGTGCTTGCGGTAGTTGATGTAATGTTCGAAGGCCAGCAGGAACTCTTCTTGGCAGCGCTCGATTCGCTCCACGCTGGTCAGGCCTGGACGATCTGGACACACAACCACAGTTACTATGACAACCAGAAGAATCCTAAATGGGTTTGCTGCAGTTAGAGGAGTAGCTAATTTTCTTTTTCTGTGAACAGGAGGCAGACTTCTTTCTGCTCCTTTTCAGTCATAATTTATTTTAGTTGTTACATGAACTGTTTATATTTATTATTGAGTAGATAAAGCAAACATTAAAAAAAAAACATGAAATGAAAATAAAAAGTGATCATAAAGTAGGGGTGGGTGATACACACTCAAAGTTTTTTCACAATATTTTCTTGTGATGTTGTGATCATTTTAAAAGTGACTGTGATTTTTTCTAGATAGCTGTATGGCTCAGCAACGATAGACCAATGAGCACACACACCGCTCCAGGAAAACATTCCCATGGTAACCAGGTTCTTTAAGACAACAGTCATGTAACGAAGACTGATTTATATCACTGAGATGCACACAGCAATGGCATTTAGTCATATTTCCAAATGTATTTGTTGCTACAGCTTTATTGAACAAACAGTGAAGACAAATAGTAAAAATACCAATCCTGACAGTTTTATGGGTTTTAAAATATGATTAATTAGAATTTATCATGACAATAAATCATGATAAAATCTTATCGGGAAAATAAATTTATCACAATAAACAGCAGAAAGTAACTTTTAAACTGGCATAAACATTAGCAGGAGTTTTGTTTGTGTTCTGATGGCTGGATGAGGACGATGTTGTGAAATGTTAAACTGAACTCATTTATTCTCTTCAGGTTCTGTCTCTCTGGCTCACACACTCTAACCAGGTTTCTAATTTAACTTCCTGTTCCATGACGTCTCTGGAACACTGAACCTGCGATGAAAGACGTGTGATGCTAAGCGCTAACAATTGCCGTTTCTTTTTATTGTTTTGCAAAACTATTTTGTATGATTTGGTCCTGCTCTGTAAACAGTTCATGTTAACTTGAATGACCAACATGGAATTCTTCTTTTGCACTTTGACCTCTCCTCAGGACATGATTTGATTTGTATTAAGGGTTTTGAGAAGGTAGATGAAAATGTGCAAATTCTTTTTTTCCCAAGATCCATGTTTAGATTCCTTCTTTCTTGGGAAGGTTATGTACAGCAAGTTCAACTGTTTTGTAGGACCATGTTATGGCAAAAATAAAACACAAAACATTTGCGACTTTTTGAAACAGGTCATTTTTTGCCAGGCGGCCTCCTGCAGGGACTGATTAAAAGTTGTTTTATTTAATTCACATGAGAAATGAGTTTTACACTAATGTACTGATTCCATGTTACAGCATTTTACTGCCATTGATTCATTCTAATACTTGTTGCTGTCTTTATGTGGGAAGTAATAAGCAACATTAAATGATAATAAAAAATGCAAGCTGTGATGTGTTTCATATTAAAACTAGAAATGCTTCCAGTGAGCAGAACAGAAGGGTAGCTTGGCCCCGCCTCCATTCTGCATGAGCAGTATTGATCTTCATTGAGGAGCACACAGACCCAAGATAGCTGGACAAAGCTCCTCACATTGATTATGTTAATTAATTGATTGTTTAATATTGATTTCATGTCAAAGCCAAGTATTCACTCACTCTGTACTGGCAACAGAAGATGGAATAGTCAGTGTTTGTGGATGGCGCACACACTAAACAATCTGCTCGTTTAAAGTTTAACAATTAATATAAAAACATCTATAAAGTAGTCAAGAATAAAAACAGGAGAGGAGCAGAGCAGTGGGTTTTCATCCGGCTTACCGGATGAGAGAAGGATTACAGCCTGCAGGAGAGCCACCTCAGAGTCATCCAGGTTGAAGGAGGCCAACGACACGCCCAGATCAAAGATGGCGTCCGACACCACGCCCAGACCTCCGTTCTTCAGCTGACCTCGAGTTACTGCCATTTCCCCGTTGAGCGTGAGGGTTTCGCTGTCCGGGTCGTAGCGTACGGCCGCTCGCAGCGACATGATCTCCATGCAGCAACCCTTCAGCAGGATGATCTGGTCTTCACAAGGCAGCTGGGAACGTCGGGACACACACAGACCACGGAGCGTTACTGTGCTGCTGACCATCAGAGAGTAGAATCATACAGAGGAAGAAAAACTCAACACCGACCACAGAGAAACAACTCAACGCTAGCAATGCTAATGGTGGCATGATGCTAACAGCATTAGCATTAGTGTTGTCTACAAAGCATGGAATAACTTGAGACAGCCAAAGACTAAAGTTTTATAATTTGCTTTAAAATGCAAATTACAATGAATATTAATACCAGTCGTCATATTAAATATGTAATTTAATTTAAGCTTTCAAGATTACAAGAATTTTTCCAATAACTTCAACAATATTTACTTATTATTATTCTGTATTATGTGTAGCATCCCTTTTATTCTTTGTTTATTCATATATTTTGAATTATATTTTATTATCTTTAGAGAAAATTATGTAAAAAAAAATCCTATTTGACAAGAGAAAATATTTCTTCTTATTTTTAATAATTAATATAAACGGAATAATTTCAATAATTTCATGAATTTGTACAAATAGAGAAATATATTTTCCTTATTTATACTGATTTTTTTCTCAAACTGTAGCAAACTGTTGGTTTGTTCCATTTGGTTAAACCTTTTCAGAATGTGTGTATAGTTTTGTTTCATCATTATAGAAACATAAATAATACACCTTTTGGTGCTTACTTGGAAAAACTACAACAGATTTGAAGGTAAATCTAAAATAATATTCTTTAGTTGTACAACTTTGACACTGAAAAGTGTCCAAATTATTTCCAGTTTTTTCTTGGTGCTCTTAAAGTTTTGGGTCAGTTTTTTGCCGTGTTGACCAGCAGCAGAGCTCTCGCCTCTGACACCTACCTCACAGAACATTGGCAGTTTTTTGGCAAAGTCCACCACTCGGGTTATGGCAGGGGTGATAATTTTTGTAAACTGACTGAAGGCTTCAATATCCACTTTGTTTTCCTCAGCTGCATTGACCATGGAGGCTTGACCACAATCCTCAGGCTAGAGGACAGAAAACAGGGAAAAGTATCCAGTTTACATATTTTATGATATGTATTTTATTAAAATAACATTCATGTGTCGATGTTGGGAAACTAGTTTGGGGACCGGTTATGATTTTATTAGTTATAGCTGCAGATTCTTACCTTAGTATCCTTCACCCCTGCTGCACTCTGGTCAGAAGTATAGAATAAATTACATGTTATTTCATTAAGAAGCATTGCTTCCTCGACCTGTTGGATGATCAACAGGAATCGTGAAGTTTCAATGAAGAACCCGTGTCAAGTCAACTAAGAAGAAAACAAGTTAAACTGAGGACAGATGAAACGTGAGCAGACAGAAAACAGGCGCAGAGATGAAGGAGTTCCAGCTGAGTTTCTGTGGCAGGATTAAAACACGGAAGTTTCCTTTAAACAGTCACATTCTAATTTTAACAAGAGTCACTATTATGACTGTTACTGGGCTAATTTTACACAAACATGGTTTTAACCATGAGAGACATGAGAATATTCAGATAAGAATATTCAAGTTCAGAACAAAAACATAACGGGGCTGAATATATAAATGCTACAAAAACATAGTTGGAATCCTGCCACAGAAACTCAAGATGAAATTCCCAGCAGACAGACTTAATCTGAACAAAATTATTAGATTAAACAGAAAAAAGCAAATTTGTTATACAAACAAAATAAGAAAAACAGCTCTGAAGCATAAAATCAGAAGCTGCTGAAGAAAGAGAGAGAAAAAAACACCAACAAAAGAGAACTTTAAAAGTAAAATTGAGTGATTAGTAGCAGCAGTTAAAGGTTGTTGCTTAGAGGCAGAAAACATGACAAAAGTAAGATGTTCCATTTTAAATAAGTGCTGCTGCGTTCAGGAACACTGTTTCCTTCGTCCAGCTAACTCTCCTCACCTCCTCTACAAGGAGATACAAAAACAACACATGGATATATTAACACAGGGAGCAGTGGAACAGTGGCTGTGGAGGCAGAGGGGGAACAAGGCTGTGATGGGGCTGGGGGCTTGGATGAGGCAGAGTAAATCAATGCAATGATGGCTGTGGTGAGGAAGAGGAGGGGGGCGGGAGGGGTGGGGGGGGCGTCTCACCAGGAATTTCCTCTTCTGCTTCCAGTGGTTGCCCTGAGCATTGGTGGACATGTGGGCCTCCGTCACCAGGCGGATGAGCTCCCACTCCTCCTGGGTGGGCTCCAGTCGGTCCCACGCCGTCTTCTGCAGCTCCTCCCTCCGCCGGCGCTCCCGGTTCTCCTCGATCAGCTTCCGCTTGGCCAGCCTCTTGCTGTCGTCCAGAACCACTGGAGCCAAGCGCAGCGGCGGAGAGCGGGGATGATGAGAGCAGACAGGAAGAGGAAGAGGAGGAGGAGGAGGAGGAGGGGGGGGCAGAGGGGGGTGATTCAGCTGACTAAAGCTTACACATACTCTGCATTCACAACCAGCAAATGTTTGATTGTTACAGATGAATTATGAGACTTATTGATTTGTTTCTGAAATGAATAGATATTATGGACAGACATAATTTAAGATGAATTTTCTTTCTTTGTTTTCGATCTGATGAACAGCAGAGAACTGGAAATACAATTTCATAACAATTTTTTTCTTTTTACTAATAATAATTAATAATTTTATTTTTTTCAGTTTTTCTTACTCCATAGATTATAAGTAGGCTTCATGTTGAGGGTTGTGTTTGTTAGTTACATTACATTAGTTGTGAATTAGAGCTCTGTAATTTTAAGGGTTTTTTAATTAAGCTAATCTGTGATATACAATAAATAATCAATAATTTAGAATATTTCTTATGATTGAGCTAATATTTTATTTAAAAAGTTTTTATTTTGTAATTTATTCTAATCCTAAATGTCATGTTTCATTTGCTATAAGCAAAAAATGTTATATTTAAATTAAATATTTAACAGAAATTTTAATGGCTGGTATGAATAAAGTGGATGTACTAATTAAAATATTGTTTCTTAAAATTTTTTATATTTTTTTTTGCTTTCAGGAGGAAAATATTCACCATGCTGAATAGCTTTGTTTTATTTATATAGAAAAATGCTTCAAAAATACCAAGTGTTGAATGAAGTTTTGGTTTATGTTGAATAAACAATAACTTTATGGTGCAGTGGAACATTTTTTTGTTATTATAGGCATCCAGTGTGTGTAAATGACATCAACGTCCAGTTTGCGCAGATTATTTGAAACAAAGGTTTTAGTGTACAGATTATCAGACATCCCCCGGGTTTTAAAAGGATTTAAGATGAATAGGTTAAGAAACTATTACACACACACACACACACACACACACACACACACACACATTAAGACAAACAAAAACAATAGGAGTTAATGTACTCACAGTCTGTTGCCATTCCTACTGCTATGCACTTCTTGAAGCGACATTCTTGGCACTGGTTCCTGGTCACCTTGTCGATGACACACTTCCCCTCGTACTTGCAGGCGTAGGTCGGGTTCAGGTTCTTCTGAATGGTTCTCCTGAAGAACCCCTGCAGAGGAAGCGGCTGCATGATCAGGGCTGATCAGCAATAGCAGCAGCTGCGTAACATAAGCAAAAGGCCCGTCATGATACCTTGCAGCCTTCGCATGTGATGCAGCGGTAGTGGTAGCCTGTGGCTTTGTCCCCGCACACTACACACAGCTCATCCTTGTCCAGGTAGCTCGGTATGTAACCTGCAGGCAGAAACACAGAACAGGGACAAACTTTATTGTGGTTGTATTTAAAGCACAGAATTTAACTGTTCATGAGTAACAGTTACTCATAAAACTCCTGTTTTTCAGATGCAGTAGAGCTGATTTTCTGCTGAGCACAACAAGTGATGCTAAAGAACTGCTGGCATGTTTTAAACTTCTACATTTATTCACTTACAGTAGTTCTTCGTCAGGAATGCAGAATTATATGCTTAGAAAATTTGATAAAGGGAGTAAAATCTCGAAATGCAAAAGTTTCTCTATTCTTAAGCAGAATCCAGACTGGTGTAGAAATCTGGGTTTTCTTTTAGGTTTTAACTTGATTGATTTTCTTTTGTCTGATTTATAATTGCAAAAGTGGAAGAAATGTAAAGACATCAAAATGAAACTACTGTAAATCACACACACACACACACACACACCCACACGCACGCACGCACGCACGCACGCACGCACGCACACTATTGTCAGTTTCTACCATATGTGAGTAACATATCATGTTAAATGTGTTGTTATGTAGAATCCCAACCCCAGATTAGTTTCTTTTCCTTCCAAAGTAATCTTCCAGCTAACTTCGTTAACATCTTGCTCTGGCCCTAATGAGATCAGAGCTTGGAGCCGGTCAGTCCTCAGGATCGGAGGTGCACAAACTGATCAATATCTATTTAGGGCTTTATTAAAAGACAAAAAGAAAAGAAATAATGAATCGAACATCAGCCTTCTGTTGCCTCAGCATCAATCAATACAAAACCTAAACTTGCCTCAGTCAAACCCTCTGGAGCCGCCTACCACCGCGGGATGCCAGGAGTTGTGGCTTCATGCTGATCGCACTTAATTTAAAAAAGCCGCACAGGATCGATTCATAAATCACTACAGAGTCATCACTAATAATCACATAGATCTAATCAAAGTAGCTCCTGGAGGCTGGCTTAATCAATACAATATATGGATTTGGACATGCAGCAGTTGACTCCACTCATACAAATCATTTTGACGCCGAAGTCCAGATGCCATACCTTTTCTGTGGGCCCCTTGCATCCACTGCAGATGTGAATAATCAGGTTTAATCTCAGGAAAATACTCAGGCTGATGGTGGAAGTGGCTGAGAGGGACCTCCATGTTGCAGAACTCGTTCTTAAAGGAGGAAGGGCCGGCAGCGTAGGAGCAGGAGTAGTGCTGGCCGGTGGGCCAGGCCTGCTCCATGCAGGGCGGGTGATGCAGAGGCTGTGGCTCGTAGTGTCCGTACCCGGCCCCCTCTCCGGGGTACATGCAATGCTCCCCGCCACCCTGAACGGCGTAGCCCCCGACCCCAGAGTGGGGCATCTCGTACATGTCCGGTATGCAGTAGTTCATCATGAAGAGCCACAGAGTAGCAGAAACTAACCTCAGATCTCTTCTCTGGAGTTAAAAACCAGGCAGGATCAACCAATCAGGCTAAATAGATGAAATATCCATCCTCAACCTCCAAAAAAACAAAAAACAACCCCCCCCCCCCCCCAAAAACAACTTCATCAAGTTGCACCAAAGAAGAACAACCATTTGATCCAGCAAATCCACAGAGCGCAGACTACACCTAGCAACTGCCCCACCCGCCACCACCCGGCCGAATTGGGAAGCAGAGATTTATGACGACGTAGGCACTAATCTCACACTCCGCAAATCCTTGATGTGCCACTTCCACTGGCAATGTCACAGATTAGGATCTTTGTGTGCCGCACCTACAGTAAGCACTGAGCCAGAAGATCCAGGGTGGAAAGCAGCTCCAGACACACACAAGTCGACGTGATGAAGAGGAAGAAGCATCTTCACCCAAACAGCTATTCGAACTGAAGCATGACTTTACAGACCTCACACTTCTGTTACCTCCAAGACTCCCCAAATCCCCTTACTGTGGTTCTAATAGCTTGGCTTGTAGATATATTTATTGAGAAAGCACAACTAATTAAAGTGTACAATCAGCGAACAATATTATTTCATTTCTGATTGAGAAACAAGCTACAAAAATAAACTCACGCACTCTGTCCATGCAACAATACATACAGTAAAAATTATATTTAGCATTTCATTTGACACAGAGATTCAGAAGGTCAAATTATGAGACAAAATGATTATAATAAAATCATTAAAAGATTTGAAACAAGGCAGATAATTTTGATCACTTTCATGGGGACAATATCTATCTATCTATCTATCTATCTATCTATCTATCTATCTATCTATCTATCTATCTATCTATCTATCTATATTTTTTATTGTCTATTACTAATTAGGAGCACTTGGGTAACATGATGAGGTCATGGTCCATTTCAGATAATATGCTTAGTCTGAACTCAGCCATATTGATCAGGCTCCCTGTTCAATAAAGAGGGATAAGCTTTAATACGATCAAGGCTTTTTATTGAGATTCTGAGGTAGAAACATGAGGTTGCAGGAAGCAGAACACACTGAGCAACACACACTGATCTGTCATATTTACTTCATCTATTTCAGCACTGGATGTTCAGATGACTGAAATAACCTCAGTGATTCCAAAGCTGAGCACAAGAAAACATTCAAGCTAGGAATGACAACCAGAACCAGACTGGAAATCCCAGTGCTGGTTCTGGTGAAGCAGTTGAGATGCGCTCAGGTACCATCCTGAGTCAGACAGAGCTGGAGTGAGCTGACTGTACATGGGCAGAAAGTGTTTCCCATGCAGGCTGCTGTTTTATGATGACCACAGTAGCAAAAACATTTTCTCATAAAAATCACCACAGAATGTTCTGTGAAGAGGTTTTGAGCACATGAGTCTGTGAGGTTTGGACTGTTTCTAATTGCAGCAATTATGTGACAAAGTTTATGAAATGCACCTTTAGGTCATTGCTAATAGAGGCTTATCTAGCTGTTCCTAACTCAGACAGGTAAACATGAACCTGCTGGCGTTTCCTCTGCCTCCGACAGACCGACACACTTCCTCTCTTTAAACAGTGATTCTCTGTTTTTCTTTTTCTTACCACTCTTATGAAGCTAACACTGTTTTAAAACTACAGTTGGGAAACTGTTAGCAGCTGGTTGCATCCAGAGTACCTGAGCAGGTAGCCTGACTAACCAGGAAGTGCTCGCTGTGCTCCTCAAATATTCTAACAACCACAGTTACTCAGAAACTGCTGCTAGATTTAGTGTCTCTTTTATATTTGTCAAAATGTCAAAATCAACATGAAACAAAATTTTATTGGGAGTTTTGTTATCAATATGGTAAATGAATTTCTGCAGTGGCGTTAATAGTGACATCTGTTTCCTTCTCCACATAAATACTGGCAATGATGATATTTTCCTTCAGGTTTTCCCGCTTAGAAAATCTCCCTCCAGCTGCTGTCCAGCAATAACAATTTTTAAAGTAACCTGAAGATGAAGCTCTGATAAGAAAACTATTTATTTCAGTTCAGTTAAATAAAGATCTCAATTCTTATTGTTGGTTAGATAAGACAGTTTAGTTTGAAGAAACAAGCCTCCTGTATTCTTGTGTTTCTTAGTGAATCAAGGGAAATAATAAAATAAGCAATATTTATTAGAGGACTACAATATAACTGCCATTTATAGTCACATTCAGCTGAAATTCAGGTTGATTATTGATTAAAGTTTAAATTAAGACCAGGTTGTTGGATGCTGCAGATTTCTGCCCAGGTCCCGCTTGAAAATGAGACTGTGGTTTCACCTGGTCAAATGAAGAAAATAATAAAAGCTGACCATCACAGCCACTCAGTGTTAACCTGGGAATCAGAGGCAGTTATACATAAAAACTGTTTCATGTATAGAACAGCACAGATCTCTGTAAACGTGCCTCATCTAACAAGAAAGGCACTAATAATTCTTGCTCCAATAAAAAAACCCTAACTATTATACTTTGAGACACACTTTAATTCCCAGCTAGATCATGATCAGCACAGGCGCTGATAATCCAGTAATGCAGCTTAAACCTTGAGACAAAAAGCCTGACAAAGTGATTATGGGTCCAGATATAATATGACACTTAAAGTGTCTTAAATACATTGACTTGTGTTGAAGCAACAAGCAGCAGTGCAGAGTGGTGGCTTTTTAATCTCATTAACTGTCGAGTACAAAAGGACTTGCATTATTAGGATGCATTGTTGTTTGGCAGTTTACACATATGCTGCATCATTAAGCCTGACGTTAGCGATGTGTGATGGTTTACCAGCTTCAAACCGTCGTGAGCCGTTAAATAGTTTACACAGTAAGCAGCTGCTGTGTTAAAGCAGCGAGCTCAGAGAGTCCTTTAATTAGTCGACTCAGAAAAATGTAAATGAACGTAGTTAGATGAGTAACAACTATTCCATTTTAACAGCTGAGTGGATTCATGGCAAAAAGATTGTTTCATTCAAAAAAATACTTTATTGATCCCAAAAGAAAATGAAATGTTGTTGTAACTCACTGATTCAAAATTCTTCAGTTGTTATGAGGAGTATAATTTTCACAAAGTAATATGCAAGATGTTACTAATTCAATGCAAGTCATGTTCAGTCCTCATCAGCAGTGTCTACAACAACATTAAACACAACTCTGGTTAGGTTGAGCACAAGCTGTTACCTACTTAGAAGCAATGCCGCTATTGAACTGAACTCCTACATTAGATGTTACTAATTTAACCATTTTATTGCTTTTACAAGTCAGTCATGAGCAACAACAAAAAAATGCAAATCTTGCAATGTAACTAAATTCTACAAAACAATGACAATTAAATAAAAATGTGTAAAATAAAATAAGTGACTGCATAAATATTCCCTCCTTCCAGTCAGTATTTGTTATTTGCCCCTCTGGCTCCGTCTCAGCAGGGAGTCTGTGTGGATCGCTCTCAGTCATTCTGCTCATCTGGATGCTGAACTTTTCCTCCATTCTTCCTGCTGAACTCCTCCAGCTTTACCAGTTCAGCTGTGAACAGGTCTGGACTTTGACTAGGCCACTCCAGAACCTCCCACTTGTTGTCCATCTCTGTGTATCTTTAGCTGGAAGCTTCGGGCCGTCGTCTTGCTGGATGATAACTGTCCTCCAGGAAGTTTCTACATTTCCCTCAGTTGGTCTTCATTCCACTCATTGTGATCTATCACCAACTTGCTGGACCTCTGCTAGGGTAAGTCAATCACTTTAAGGAGGGTGACTATTCATGCAATCACTTATTTTATATTAACGTGTTATTTACAGAAATCAGTTTTCACTGTAACATTAGAAATATATATATATATATATATATATATATATATA